TGGGATTACAGGTGTGCGCCACCATGCCCGGCCTATAATTTTCAACACTTCTATAAAGTATTATATGAAGCTGCTTTAGACAAGAGAGGTCTATGGTGGAATTTGAATGGCTAAAACTTAACTCCTTAATAGGCCAGGCTGTATTAGGTACCAATAGATTATTCTGCTATGTATATCTCTGCTCAATTATTTGTCTTTGTCAACAAACAAAAATGAGACATAGAAATTTCATATACCACATTCTTTTCATTTGGAAGAAAGGCTATTCGGAATGGATGTTAAATTTTACAAAGTTTTTATTATCTTAGTAACATTACAATCCTTGAATGAGAAAAAAGTAAAAGGATAATTTATAAGTTAAAATGCAAATGGTAGTTGGTTTGCAGTTCATTGTTTCTCACTAGTGGCTAGTTTGAAACATGGGGTGACTGAAAAATAGTGAAGCTGCTTTACCTGAACTATTAATTAAGACACTAATTTTGGTCAAACTTAGTACTAGGCATTAATAGAACTAAGAAACTGTGAAAGAAATGGAAAATATTGAGATCCTTTTCTAATTCTTTAGAAAGATGTACATGATACAATTACAGAACAGAATAAAGGAAATGATCTGATTAATGCTGTAATGAAATATTTGTGAATTGTGAAAATTAAAGATATAAAAGATGCATATGGCTTACTGGCAGATTATTTATTTGGTCCATTTGTAGAGCGCCCCAAGTATGAGAACTGCTTTTATGTCTTTATAGTTTAAGGAAGCTATTTGCAGCTACATTTAGAATTAGCTTTCTCTTCTCTATACTCAACTACTGATCCTAGGTTTTCTCCTTTTCTTTTGTCAGATAATGTTATTGCAGACTCAGTTTCCCCAACTTTATTTGAGAGTGTGTAGAACATGTCAGTAGGCTGTACTGTGCTGTGTACAACTTTCAAAATCCTGAAGTCCTATTTATGACTTCTTGATTGTGTTTGTCCTCATTTGTGAATTTGCATTAGTAATAGTACTCTGACTGGGCACACTTGGCTCATATCTGTAATCCCAGCACTTTGGGAGGCCTAGTCAGGAAGATGTCTTGAGCCCAGGAGTTCAAGACCAGCCTGGGCAACATAGTGAGACCCTGTCTGTGCAAAAAAAAATTTTTTTAATTAGCTGGTGTGGTGCCGCATGCCTGTAGTCTCAGCTACTTGGGAGTCTGAGGTGGAGGGATTGCTTGAGCCTAGGAGTTGGAGGCTGCAGTGACCTATGATTGCTCCACTGCACTCTAGCTTGGGTGACAGAGCAAGACTCTGTCTCTAAAAAAATAAGAATAATAATAATCAAATTATAATAGTACCCAATTAAAATACAAAGGAGCTATGAAATGGGGTTTGTAAAAATGATCTAGGCAATATCTTATGAAATTTAAAGTACTATGAAAATATTATATGAGAGTAGTTTATGCACAGTTTATCATAATTGCTCAGAATCTTTTCAAGAAAAATTCTCCTGTCTGGTGATTCGTATATATTTTTATTGTTGGGTTTTTTTCCTGTTTTTGTTTTTGTTTTGTTTTGTTTTGAGTCGGGGTCTTGCTATGTTGCCCAGGCTGGTCTTAAACTCCTGGGCTCAAGCAATCTTCCTGCCTCAGCCTCTTGAGTAGCTGGAATTATAGGCACAGGCCACCATGCTTGCTTGGCTCATATATATTTTCTGTGTATAAGATTGTCACTCTTTTTTTTATACCATACATATATACACATTTATATCCTGAATCTCAAATGAGTTAATCTCAGAACTGTAGAAATTCAACCCTAGCTTCAATCTCAGAAGACCAATGGAGTTTTTGTTGGTTTGTTTTGTTTTGAGACAGAGTGTCGCTCTGTTGTTCAGGCTGGAGTGCAGTTGCACGATCTCGGCTCACTGCAGTCTCCGCCTCCCGGGTTGAAGCCACTCTCCTGCCTCAGCCTCCGGAGTAGTTGGGATTACAGGTGCCCGCCATCACGCCCAGCTAATTTTTGTATTTTCAGTAGAGACAGGGTTTCACCATGTTGGCCAGGCTGGTCTCGAACTCCTGACCTCAGATGATCCACCTACCTCAGCCTCTCAAAGTGCTGGGATTACAGGCATGAGCCACCGTGCCCGGCCTAAAGTATTATTTTTATTGCACTGCCCTGTTCATTTTGGCTGATGTAGTTAGAATTACATGTAATAATGAGGTGACTTTTTTTTTTTTTTTTGACCACCACGCCTGGCTAATTTTTGTATTTTTAGTAGCGACAGGGTCTCACCATGTTGGCCAGTCTGGTCTCACTTTCCTGACCTCAGGTGATCAGCCTGCCTTGGCCTCCCAAAGTGCTGGGATTATAGTTGTGACCCACCACACCTGGCCCGATTTTGGATATAGGTTATCATCTCCCTGTTATTTGACATTTAATATAATTTTACATTTGCTTTTCTTATCATGGTCACTTTTGGGTCCATTTACTAAAGTAAATTTTGAAAAGTGAATTACTATAAATTTTAGATTTCAAAATCACTTTCAAAATATACTAGAAAATTGCCATCTGTCTAAATTTATTTTAGAATAATTAAAACAGAAGTATGAGATAACTTCCTGAAGGAAAACAGCACCAATAGAACCTAATGCTTTTTCCCCAAGGTAATTTTAGATTTGCGCTTATGCTAAGAGTTTAGATCTAAACGCAAATTGCCTGTCTTGGATTAGCCTGAAAGATCCTCAGGACCCTGGTTGCATTTGGGAGCTATTCCAGGACATTAGTTAGGTGTATTTTTCCTGGGCTGGACTTAGGACAAGCTTTGCATGTCCATGAGCTTTACATATCCATGTCCAACTAATAGTATTCCTGACACGAAGTGAAATAGATATAAACATCTTAGCTGACCCTGGAACCACATGGTTTCTTGGTGTCTTTGGACTAGAGATTGACTCTAAATCTCCCATGACTAATCCAAATTCATTTTGCATTGTATTCAGACCAATTTCTATAGTTTTCCTAGAACTTAATGGGTCTCATTAAGTGATTTGAACTTACTTGATTTCTCAAAAAGACTTTTTTTCTTTATCAGTTTATATAGTTATTTTCAGCCTGCTTACATGTCACTTTAGGTGATATGAAAATATAAAAACTTTAGGTATCTTAAGGAAGGACATTCTTATTAGATGTTGAATCTTACTCATATAGAATTAAAATTACCTCAGTGGAAGAGGGGTAGAGTTTCACTTCTCATAGGCTTGATTTTTTTTTTTTTTTTTTTGAGATGGAGCTTTGTTCTTATTGCCCAGGCTGGAGTGCAGTGGTGCAATCTCAGCTCACCGCAACCTCCGCCTCCCGAGTTCAAGCGATTCTCCTGCCTCAGCCTCCTGAGTAGCTGGGATTACAGGCATGTACCACCATGCCCGGCTAATTTTGTATTTTCAGTAGAGACGGGGTTTCTCCATGTTGGCCAGGCCGGTCTTGAACTCCCAACCTCAGGTGATCTGCCTGCCTTGGCTTCCCAAAGTTCTGGGATTACAGGCGTGAGCCACCACGCCCAGCCCGCTTGATCTTTAAAAATTGGCCAGGTGTGGGCTGTGCACAGTGGCTCACCCCTGTAATCCCAGCACTTTGGGAGGCCAAGGCGGGCAGATCACCTGATGCCAGAAGTTCGAGACCAGCCTGACCAACATGGTGAAATCCCATCTCTACTAAAAGTACAGAAATTAACTGGGTGTGGTGGCGGGCACCTGTAGTCCCAACTACTCGGGAGGCTGAGGCAGGGAGAATCACTTAAACCCAGGGGGCGGAGGTTGCAGTGAGCCAAGATTGCATCATTGCTCTCCAGCCTGGGTGACACAGCAAGACAACACCCCCCCCTGCAAAAAAAACTTGGCCAGGTGTGGTGGCTTACACCTGTAATCCAAGCACTTTGGGAGGCCAAGGCAGATGGATCACTTGAGCTCAGGAGTTCGAGACCAGCCTGGGCAACATGGTGACACCCCATCTCTACAAAAAATGCAAAAATCAGCCAGGTGTGGTGGTGCATGCTGTAGTCCCAGCTACTCAGGAGGCTGAGGTGGGAGGATCACTTGAGCCTGGAAAGCAGAGGTTGCAGTAAGCCAAGATCGCACCACTATACTTCAGCCTGGGTGACACGGTGACCCTGTCTCAAAAAAAAAAAAGGAAAAAATTAGAGAAATCATAAAACATTACTAAATATCTTTGTATGTCTTTACTTATAGGAAGATATAATAATCCTAGTATTTAATAGAATTTATGGAAAACAACAAAATGCATGAAAATTTGGAGTTTTTCAGTGAACAATTATGTGCCAGTAATTTTTTCCTGTAATCCTGTATCTAGATTCTGGCAAGAAATAGATGGCATACTCAAAGGGACTTGGAGAGAATTTAATGTAAGGAATTTTTTACAGATGTATGGGCAGAGTTAAGAAAGCCAATGGGACCAGCAACAGAGGGAGCCATTCCAACCATGAGTCCTGAAAGGGGAGTTGAAGTGGGTGTAAGCAGAACTTGATGAGGGTAGTAGCTGAGAGAGAGGCCACAAGAAGGGAGCTGTGGCCAGGATAGTGGAATGTAGCCGTCACCAGCGCCACAGTCCTCAGCGGGGAAGCAAGGATAATCATTACCCAGCCCTCTCTTTCCTCTAACCCTCTGATTGTCTGTTAGTGCCATCCATTGAGCAGATCTAACCACAAATCAGAAAGCAAGGAAGCCCAGATGGTGCAATCTGTATAAATTAGCCTTCCAGAGCATACAGCACACCAAAGAAGGGGCAGGGATAAACCTACCGGGAGAGACTGTTCTGCAGTTTCTGAGTAGGGTAGCTTAAGTGTCATTCATTGTTATTCAGAATTGTTCATTTTTCATATAAGTTGCGCAGACCTGGTCAACATCTGTGTTCTTCCTATAAATTAGAATTTGAGATGTTAAATCTCACAGCATGCATCTGTATTGATATTTTACATAATTGCATTTTAATTTTTTCTCCCCCTTCTCCAGATTACAATTCCTAGACCTTCTGTGGCATCTACACAGTCAACTTCAGGAAGCTTTCACTATGGTCAGCAGCCAGAGAAGAAAGATCTTCAGCCCATGGAGCCCACTGTGGAACTTTACTCTCCAAGGGAAAACTTCTCTGGCTTGGCTGTGACAGAGGGTGAACCTCCTAGTGGAGGAAGCAGAACAGATTTGGGGCTTCAGATAGATCACATTGGTCATGACGTGTTACCCAACATTAGAGAAAGTAACAAATCTCAAGACCTGGGACCAAAAGAACTTCCTGATCATAACAGACTAGTTGTGAGAGAATTTGAAAATCTCCCTGGGGAAACTGAAGAGAAAAGCATCCTTTTAGAGTCAGATAATGAAGATGAGAAATTAAGTAGAGGGCAGCATTGTATGGAGATCTCCTCTCTCCCAGGAGATTTGGTAATTGTGGAAAAGGATCACTCAGCTACTACTGAACCTCTTCATGTGACAAAAACACAGACTTTTAGTGTGGTGCCAAATCAAGACAAAAATAATGAGATAATGAAGCTTCTGACAGTTGGAACTTCAGAAATTTCTCCCAGAGACATTGACCCACATGTTGAAGGTCAGATAGGCCAGGTGGCAGAAATACAAAAAAATAAGGTATCTAAGGATGATGACATCATGAGTGAAGACTTGCCGGGTCATCAAGGAGACCTCTCTACTTTTTTGCACCAAGAGGGTAAGAGAGAGAAAATTGCCCCTAGAAATGGAGAACTATTTCATTGTGTTTCAGAGAATGAACATGGTGCCCCAACCCGGAAGGATATGGTTAGGTCATCCTTTGTAACTAGACACAGCCGAATCCCTGTTTTGGCACAAGAGATCGACTCAACTTTGGAATCATCCTCTTCGGTTTCTGCAAAAGAAAAGCTCCTCCAAAAGAAAGCTTATCAGCCAGACCTAGTCAAGCTTCTGGTGGAAAAAAGACAATTCAAGTCCTTCCTTGGCGACCTCTCAAGTGCCTCTGATAAATTGCTAGAGGAGAAACTAGCTACTGTTCCTGCTACCTTTTGTGAGGAGGAAGTGCTCACTCCCTTTTCAAGACTGACAGTAGATTCTCACCTGAGTAGGTCAGCTGAAGATAGCTTTCTGTCACCCATCATCTCCCAGTCTAGAAAGAGCAAAATTCCAAGGCCAGTTTCATGGGTCAACACAGATCAAGTCAATAGCTCAACTTCATCTCAGTTCTTTCCTCGGCCACCACCAGGAAAGCCACCCACGAGGCCTGGAGTAGAAGCCAGGTAATGCTGTGTGCTCTCCCTGTGTTAAGTGTGTGACACCATTTCTAGATCTGCTTTATTGTACTCCACCAATGGCATCATTTCTGTGTTACCCTCTTCTCTGTATCTTTCTTTCCTGCCTTTCCCAGGCCTTACAGCCTAGTGCAGTGGAAGTAATCAGATTGACCCAGGTTAATCATTTTATTTTTTCCAATTTATTGTGGTAAAATGCACATAACATAAAATTTAGCATCTTGACTTTTTGTTTGTTTGTTTTTGAGACAGAATCTCACTCTGTCACGCAGGCTGAAGTGGAGTGGCTCAATCTCAGCTCACTGCAGCCTCTGCCTCCCGGGTTCAAGAGATTCTCTCGTGCCTCAGCCACCCGAGTAGCTAGGATTACAGGCACCTGCCACCACATCAGGCTAATTTTTTTTTTTTTTTAAACTAGAGACAGGGTTTCGCTATGTTGGGCAGGCTGGTCTCAAACTCCTGGCCCCAAGTGAACCACCTGCCTCGGCCTCCCAAAGTGCTGGGATTACAGGCTTGAGCCACTGTGCCCAGCTGTGTCTTTTTTAAGTGTACAGTTCAGTGGTATTAAGTACATTCACATTGTTGTGTTACACTTAAGTTCTAAAGTTATAACATTGATTTGGATTTATATGAGCTTAACTTCAATATCATGCAATAACTCTGCTCCTTTCAGTCTCCGTCTCCACTCCTTTCAGTTGTTGATGTTACAGAATTACATCTTTATACATTGTGTGTTCAAACACATAAACTAATACTTTTTTAAATGCATTAATATCTTAAATTATGTAAAAAACAAAATGTGGAGTTACAAACCAATGTTAGAAAAAGAAAGTATTGGTCTCCTAAATAATGCAGAAAACAAAAAGTGGAGTTATAGACTTCTTACAAAAATACTAGCTTTTATAATTGTCCATGTGTTTGCCTTTATTAAGATCTTTATTTCTTCATATGGCTTCAAGTTCCTGTGTGGCATCCTTTCATTTCAACCTACAGGACTCCCTTTAGCATTTCTTGCAAGGCAGGTCTGGTGGTAACAAACTCCCTTAGCTTTTATTTGAGAATGTCTTAATTTCTCCCTCATTTTTGAAGGACAGTTTTGTCAGATACAAGATTCTTAGTTGACAGTTCTTGTAGTATTTTAAAAGAAGTACTTTAAAGTACTAAAGTACTTCCAGCCTCCAGTGTTTCTGGTGAGAAGTGTTCTGATAATTTTTTTGAGAATCTCAAGGTTCTCTGTCTTTGTCTTTTGACAGTTTGATTATAATGTGTCTCATTGTGGGTCTCTGAGTTCATCCTACTTCGAGTTTGTTGAACTTCTGGGATGTTGTATGTTCATGTCTCTTACGACTTTTGGGGAGTCTGCAGCCTTTTTTTTTTTTTTTTTTTAAGTATTCTCTCTGCCTCTTACTCTCTTCTCCTTCTGGAACTCCCACAGTGTGCATGCAGGTCTGCTTGATGGCCCCACAGGCCCTTTACTCTCTGTTTACTTTTCTTTATTCCTTTTTTTCCTGTACCTCAGACTCAATACTTTCCATTGTCCTGTCTTCAAGTTTGCTGTTTTTTTTCTTCTGCCTGCTCAGATCTGCTTTTGAATTCCTCTAGTGAATTTTTTATTTTAGTGTTTGTACTTTTCAGTTCCATTTTTTTTGGTTCTTGTTAGGTTTTCTGTCTCTTATTGATATTTCCATTTTGTTCACACGTTGTTTTCTTGACTTTCTCCGTGTCTTTCTTTAGTTCTTCGAGCATCCTTAAGACAGTTGTTTCAAAATCTTTGTCTAGTAGATTTGCCATCAGGTCTTTTTCAGATACAATTTCTGTTGATTTTTTTTTCCTTTGAATGGACAATGCCTTCCTGTTTCTGTGTATGGTTTTTTTTATTTTTTTTTTGTTGAAAATTGGATATTTGAATCTAATAATATGGTAACTCTGAAAATAAGATTTTCCCCTTTCCTCAGGATTTGCTGGGGGTTGTTTTTGTTTCTTTTTGTTTTTGAGACAGGGTCTCACTCTGTCACCCAGGCTGGAGTGCAGTGGAATAATCATGACTCATTGCAGCCTCTAACTCCTGGGCTCAAGTGATCCTCCTGCCTCAGCCTCCTGAGTAGCTGGAACTACAGGTGCATGCCAGCACACCTAGCTAATTTGTTTGTTTTTTGATGGTTGTAGACTGTCTCTGTGCTGAGGACCACCCTGAGATGTAAACCTAAGGTCTCAGACCTTTTCTAAGCCTGTATTTTTTTCTAGCTAAGCATAATAGCTTTCTGATTTCCCCAGTATATGTGGTTGGTTTTGAATACACAAGTCTTTAATATCTGGCTCTGAAGAAGGGAAAAAAGAAGAATGAGGGAAGGAAAAAAAGAGCACTGGCCCTTTTAATCCCCTAGCAGTTACTTCAGCCAGAGGAGAACCAGTTTGTAACAATAGGGAAAAATGTAAGAATGACTACCCACCTCTTTCTCTGCTCTTCTGTGATCAGAACCAGCTATGAGTAATCAGAGCACAGATTCCCAGTAATTGGAGGACAGGGTTCTTTTTGCCCACCTGCTTCTTGTAAGCTGTGTGCAAACTGCTCCAGAAATAAGTGCACAACTGCCTGCCACAGGGCCAGGAATGGGGGATGTGCTAAGATCTGAAATAGACTAAAATTAACTGTTATTGACAGTCCAAGCCTTCTCCTGAAAGTTGCAAGCCTTCGGTAGACTCCAGATTTCCAAGATAATTACATCAGACAGATTCTGCCAATGGAGTTGCCTAGGTGGGGAGACAGATTCCTAGTGCTTCAAATATGATGTCAAATGCTAGTGAAGAACACATGGTCCATGATTTGATAAATGGACCCTGGTAACAGTGCTGTTTATCTTGGTTATAATGAATTAAACCAAAAAAATCCTATAGAAGATTTCCGTAGGTCTGATGGTATGTACAACCATACATAGTAAAGACACTGCTTTAGTATCTACTGCATGCTATACTTTTTATTTAAATATTATCATGATATATTTGACCACAGAATGTTTATATTTTGAGGAAGAGGGGAAAATATCGGGAGGTGGTAAACCAGTGAAGAGTGCTTTCCAGGGCCAAATGTGGTGGCTCACACCTGTAATCCCAGCACTTTGGGAGGCTGAGGCAGGCAGATTGCTTGAACCCAGAAGTTTGAGACCAGCCTAGGCAACATGGTGAAACCTCATCTCTATAAGAATTAGCCAGGCATGGGTGCTACACAGCTGTATTCCCAGCTACTCGGGAGGCTGAGGTGGGAGGATCGTTTTATGAGTTGTTGGCTGTCTTCATGTCAAAACATTCTATTGGGTTACTGTTGTTGTTGTTTTGAGATGGAATCTTGCTCTGTGGCCCAGGCAGGAGTGCAGTGGTGCAGTCCTGGCTCACTGCAACCTCTGCCTCTCAAGTTCAAGTGATTCTCCTGCCGAGTAGCTGGGATTACAGGCACCGCCACCACGTCCAGCTAATTTTTTGTATTTTAGTAGAGACAGGGTTTTGCCATGTTGGCCAGGCTGATCTCAAACTCCTGACCTCAAGCTGTCCACCCACCTCAACCCCCCAAAGTGCTGGAATTACAGATGTGAGCCACCGCACCCGGCCTGGGTTACTTTCTGTAACTAACCCCCTTCTCTACAAATTACATCAAAGATATTTTATCCTAGTCTGAATTTAACTTGGGTTGTAGTGCCTTTTGTTTGATACAAAAGTTTAGTGTTCATGGAACTGAATTTTTTTTTATTAATTGTGTTTTATATCATGCGTAGGAAGGTCCTTCAAACCTAATATTTTTTTAAAAGGTAGTAATTTCCTGTACCTTTAGAGTTTTGTGCTTTGTGTATAAATGTATTGTCTATCTAAAGTTTATCATTATATATGATGTGAAGTTTTTTTCCAAGTAGTTAGTGATATCTTAATACTAATTTCCCATAGAAACATGGGAAATGTTTTTTGGATTCAATGCTCTGTTCCATTCATTTGTCTATTCCTTTGCTGTATACTTTCTATTAGCATAATTTTATTATTACAGGGGCCCTAGGGTCCTTCTCACTACATAATTTGGCATTGCCACTAAAATATATCATAGACTGCTGTATAGCAGACCCCTGGCCCCAGGGCTGCACGGCAGGAGGTGAGCACTACTGCCTGAGCTCCGCCTCCTCTCAGATCAGCAGTGGCATCACATTCCCATAGGAGCCCGAACCCTGTTGTGAACTCCACATGGGAGGGATCTAGGCTGTGTGCTCCTTATGAGAATCTAACTAATGCCTGATGATCTGGGGTGGAACAGTTTCATCCCAAAACCATCCTTGCCCCTCCTCCCCCCGTCGTGGAAAAAAATTGTCTTCCACGAAACTGGTCCTTGGTGCTAAAAAGGTTAGGGACCACTGCGTTATAGTTCATAAAGACACTTTTATATGTTCCATTTTCTTTGATTCTTAGGCCAAATCAGAAAGACATTTAGGACAAGAAACACATTTGCTGTTCATATGAATACTCTTAGAATTCTGAGGCCCAAGGGCCAGGCGCTATGGTTCATGCTTGTAATCCCAGCACTTTGGGAGGCTGAGACAGGAGGATTGCTAGAGCCCAGGAGTTTGAGACCAGCCTGGGCAATGTGGCAAAACTGTCTCTACAAAAAATACAAAAATTAGCCAGGTGTGCACTACAGGTGCACTACAGGTACAGCTTGAGGCCCAAGCTCAGTTGCCAGTGTGAGGGGGTGGGGGGCAGTCAGTTCCAGCATCCACCCTCCTTAATCCCAGGCTATTAACAGGAATACAAACTGAGCTCCACAGAAACCAATGACTACTCTTTTCTCTTGGAAATTATTAAATGAGTGGAATGTACATTTATCTATAGTTCCTCCTGTTGCTTAGTGTAGTTCATGTTGAAGACTTAGGGGTGACAGAGCCTTGGCAGAAAAAAGAAAGTTAAAAAAAAAAACACTTACGTTGTGGGATTTTGTGTTTGTAAGATTCCTGTCCTAGCATCCTTACACAATATAGTTTACTCTCTGTCTTATGTGCTAACATGCTAGAGACAATTAATTAAATTCATCTGAAAATTAGCAGAGTAAAACATGGCGTAGGAGGAAAGGAACTAATATCATTTAAGGGCTTCTTCGTGGTAGATGTTCATCTAAGTACTTGGGTCACTGCCCTTGGTCTGTTCAGTGACCCTATGAGACAGACAGTATTCCCATTGAAAGCAGGGAAAGATTAAAGAATTTCTCCAGGGTCATACAACTAGTATATAGTAGAGTAACCCTGTATCCTGTTAGTCTATTTTCTGATTTCTACACATTCACATTATGATTTTGGGACATTGTGACTTTTTAGGCACACTTGAATTAAAATAAAAATATATTTTCTCTGTTCTTTTAAGGCTACGCAGATACAAAGTCCTAGGGAGTAGTAACTCCGACTCAGACCTTTTCTCCCGCCTGGCCCAAATTCTTCAAAATGGATCTCAGAAACCCCGGAGCACTACTCAGTCCAAGAGTCCAGGATCTCCTCACAATCCAAAAACACCACCCAAGAGTCCAGTTGTCCCTCGCAGGAGTCCCAGTGCCTCTCCTCGAAGTTCATCCTTGCCTCGCACGTCTAGTTCCTCACCATCTAGGGCTGGACGGCCCCACCATGACCAGAGGAGTTCATCCCCACATCTGGGGAGAAGCAAGTCACCTCCCAGCCACTCAGGATCTTCCTCCTCCAGGAGGTCCTGCCAACAGGAGCATTGCAAACCCAGCAAGAATGGCCTGAAAGGATCCGGCAGCCTTCACCACCACTCAGCCAGCACTAAAACCCCCCCAGGGAAGACTAAGCCAGCCAGTAAACTCAGCAGATAGGAGCCAGGCGGCATCTCTTTGAAAGGTGTGAGATCTTCCTCCTAAACCTGATGCATGTGTGTCCCTGTACTGTCTACTTAAAAAAATCAGTGTTGATCTTCTCTTTCAAAAGAAAGTAATATGATCAATTATTTATAAGAAGACATAAATACATGATAAGGAATAACCTAAGGCAGGCAGCAAGCAGATTAGGAATCAATGTCTTTGTACAAGAAGGAAAAACAGAGCAAAAATCCAAGGGGGAGAAACTCATTAAAATGAGCTCTCATTTTTTAAGCTGCCTTTGAAACAAAAGAGTTGAGGATAGGAGATAGAATGAAATTTTAGGGGGGTTGCCTAATTTTTTTAAGCCTCAACTCAAAGATTATATAGCAAAAGTGAAACTTCTTGTTTGATATTTTCATTCAAAACTTTCCCCCCCTGGAGAGTCATTGGTCAGATATTAGATTTTGTAAGAAGTCTGTTGCCAGGGAGCCAGTACTCATGTATATTTGGCTTGTGTGTTTATTTCGTGTATTGAGAATGAACACCTTTCCTTTGCCTCATTCCCAGTACCCTCCCTGGAGTTCAGATTTTTTTTTTAAAGTTTAGTATGTCTCATCTGACTCAGTCTCTCTGCTTTTATTTTATGGTCCTAATTGTACTATCAAATCCAATTACTTTTTTTCAGGTCCCTGATTTTGTTTTTTTTTTAGAGTAACAGGTCTTAACCTACTACGTTTTTATTATGAAAAATAAGAAACTTAGGTAAAGGAAAGAAAAGTCTAACTAGAGCTACTTTGCAGGCTTTAGTGTTTAGGGAGAGAAAGTAAGTGTGGGGTAATAGCCTTCAAGATAGAAGATGCCCCTTCCTCCCTGTTAAGTGTCCTCCTTTAGAAACTTGAGAAGGAAACTGGCCAGAGTGAGCTGCTTCCTTGAGTCTTCTGGGCTCCAGCTGTCTGTGGTATCAGCCTCCAGGACGATACAAGGGAAGCAATGCTTTGGAATGTGACTTGAGATTTAGAAATCAATTAGATATATTATTGAGGCTTAGAATCCTCAAACTTTGTATTTTCTACATTTAGCCAATAAGGAATTAATATCTGGGGAAAAATTTAGGCTAAATATTTCTTTTTTAATGTTTTATTACCTGCTTCTCCTGTGTTTTAGTTCAATATTTGGGCTTCTTGGCCTGATTTTCATATAATCTCAATTCATGAAGCTGTAAAGAGAAAGATACTTGTTCTAATCTCACTCTTCTAATAGGAATCAGGCAAAAAGTCTACCAGACTTTTAAAATGGGCTCTTTTATACTCTCTAGGTGTTTTGTGTTGTAAAGACCTTATTAAGGTCAGGTAAATTGGTCTGCTTGCTGTTGAAATTTGCCTTCTAGCAAACATCTGTGCTTTCTGTTTGACCTTGTGTTTGCTGCCAAACCTAACACAGTTGAATTGGGAAACAAAAAAAAAAGAAAGAAATACATTTCCTCCCCAAGTGAACATCTTCTAATGCTGCATCAAAGCTGCCCTGAAGCTGCACTGAACTTCTCTTGTTCTTTATCTGTGTTGAGCTTTTTAAAAAAACAAACTCAGAACACCATTGAGGCATATAACGTCTCTTATAAGAAATGTAGCATAGTGTGGAATCTTAATTTCTCTCCAGTTTCAAACACTACAGAGGAATGCAATAGATAAGACATATTTGCTGTTTATCTAAAGCAACTGTAATATTGGAAGTCCAGTCCTTCTGTATTATATTGTATAATAGTTGCTGTAACACTACTTGCATGTCTTCATGGTAAATTATATAAATATTTATAAATATATAGAGAGACATATCCTTATATAGACTCATTCTTTGTCATTCTCCATTTGTAATTTCGAGATCACAGATGGCGAAATTCCTTTTCTATTGTGTGCCTCATGTATACTTGGGCCTTGCCTATCTTCATTTTCTGAAAATATGTTCTTGGCATGTGACACCTCAGAGTCTTCTTGCCTTCCCTGTGTACAATGCAAGGGTTGGCAGTATTTAACAAGCCAAGATAGGTTCTTTAATTTAATTTTCATTTCAAAAAGATTTTAATAGGGAAAAACTTACGGGGACATGCTTGTAATACTGGTTCAAAGATTTGTCACGTTAATCACATAGTTCTCTCCTTATAGTTACAGTGGATAAACTGGGATGATAATGATGAGTCTGACAGATTTTAGAAACATTTCTTAAAAATTGCCATTCTACTTTCCTCTTTTCATCTCATTTTTTTTGCAGGGGGTTGGGGGAATAATGAAGAAATTATCATATTTCTGTTGCTAAAAGTAGCTAGCTTTAAATCCCGACCCCTTTAGTCAGAAATATGCTAGTAGTAATCATTGGAAAAGCTGATGAGGCTACAACTGTGGTATGTGTGTGAGATTTTATTTCTTACTGGCATTTCTCTGCCGGCGGTTGGAACTGACAGCGATGGGAACGTGGCAACTGAATGTTTTCTCTCTTTCTTGGTTCCTTCCATTTTTATCTCAGCTTTTCTAGTGTGTTGTCCCCTTTTCTAAATGGCCTTGATGAACTCATCAAGATCCAGAGAGAAACAGTCTCATCGTGTAAGAATATGTTATTTTGCATGTAGAGGAAAGAATTAACCAAAGACGTTTCTGCTCTGATACTTTCAAAAGAAAACAGACTAATTATATCATAGGTGGTATCAGTAGGTCCGCTTATAAGTACCGTCCTATGTAGACATTTACTTTTTGGTTTTTACAAGCATAGTTTGTACTTTTAGATGTCTGTCAGGCGAAAAATAGAAGTTGGCAGCCCTGAGCAAGCACCTGTGACGCAGGGATTTTTATTTTTGTTTTAAAGTATGATACAGAGAATGAGGTTTTTGGTTTGATTCGGTTTGGTTGTGTTTTTTAGTTCTTTATTTTTTATTTGGGGGTTCTCTTAGTGATGGCATATTTCAGGTTTCAGTGACGTAGATCAAGTAATTTTAAACTGATTTGGTTATTCTACCTAAGATGAGGGACATGGCTATTAAGGTCAAGCCAAACTATGCTAAAAGTAGTATAGGGCAGCAGTTAAAATTATCTTTTGAAAATCAAGTACTGCCTGGTTTCTTCTGTCACAATAGAATAGCCGGTTACCTAGTCAGTCACGGTTGCCCTCGCCTTCCCTTGTTAGTCCCTGGAAGTACTTGAGTGGAACAGAAGGTAGAATTAGCAACAGCTCAATCACTTTAGGTAGCATTTCTCCTGAATTCTGCTGCCAAATCCCCAGGGTCTATGAATTGGTTGAAATAGTAAAATCATACATTGTGATTTCTTGCACAGCATAGAGGCATTTAATTTTAGTGGATAGTGAACAAAGAAGGAAAACTGGGTCATATAAAATTTAACCTTAAAACACAGATTATAAATGTCTTTGAATGTTAAGCCGTAGGCAGACAGGTACTCTCATTCTTAACTCTGGTATGCAAGCTGGCCTTGCTGACAGTGGCACAGTTACATTAACTGTTTTCTAAGTTGCATGTTGTGACGTGAATGTTTTTTGTAGAAGTTGCCAAGTTAATCGAGTCCTACATAAGTAGCAAAATGGTAATTGACACCCACTGTAGTCATTACTCACTTTATATTATTTGCTTTCAAACACTAAAGCCTCGGCTGCTAATTCAGCACTTAGGTGTGCAGCGTCTCCTTCTCCTGACTCCTAGCCATGATGGGAACTTGAGGTTCTTCAGCATCATCAGAGATTTCTTCCAGGCCACATATTTTTTATGCTAATATTTCTATAGTTGCATTCAGTCTACAAGGAGAAAGTGTACATTGGTGCATGTTTTACAAACTCAGACACAGATAGCTAAAACCATAATTAGTTTTTCTATACCCAAGAGCTTTGAATTAAAAACAGACGCTTTATTTTTCCCAAGAGCAGACAATTCTACATTCTAACATGACATTAGGAATTGGTGATAGGAGAAGCAGAATTCAGAACGATTTAGTGAGACTCAGGGAAAAAATGCATTTTCCCCTGGCTGTTTGAAAATTTATTTATTTGTAGATAAGTCTAGATTTAGTCTTGAAGATCAAAGTTTTTTATACGTTAAAAACATATTCCTTTATATTGATCAAAACATGGCATATGTTAGACTTCTGTCATGTTTATGTATTTTGGAATTAAGTTATTTGCATTCACTTTCAAAATCTGCCCATTTCTGTTTATGTGCACTTACCACAGATGTGTGGGGACTTTGCCTCAGGGTAGAGGTACTTTAGCACCTGTGTCACTGAGGAGATGGAGTGGTTGACAAGTACTGTTGCACTGTGTAACTTGGGGTTTGGCTCTGTAGACAATATATTAGCAGAATGATACCACATGAAAGTATTACAGGATTAAGGCATGTAACTTCTATGGTAGTCCTTATGTATCAGCATATACCCAAGTTCAGAAACCACAGGTGCATTTTTAGACCTTTACTTAGAGAACTAAAGGCAGTTCCAACCATCAGCCCATATGGGGGGATTAATGCATGAAAACCCTAAGAGGTTGTTGGGACATTCCACTTCCCTGTCCTCACCCAGTGGAACTCTGGTGTGTGACTTGAGATAAGGAAGTAGATAGAAACTTAGCCTGTCATTGAGTATTCTTAATATTTTGGCCTTCCCTCTGGAATTATGAGAAGTTTAACAAAGTCTCAGGAACCTTCAGAGTCCATTACCCACACTGCTTAGAAAAACTGTAGGAGGCACATGGGGAATTCCTGTAGTTCTTAGGTAAGCCCAGGACACGGCACAGGGATCCCCAGCCACATAAAGGGGAGTCTGGATGCTGCACACCGCAAGTCTGAGAAATCCCTGACTGAACGTGGAATTATGACAGTAAAGTTTTGGCCCTTTAGTTTTCTAGAGCAGCTCACAGAAATTTTAAAAAGTAAAACAAGGCCAGGCGCAGTGGCTCAACGCCTGTAATCCCAGCACTTTGGGACGCTGAGGCGGGCAGATCACGAGGTGAGGAGATCGAGACCATCCTGGCTAACAGGGTGAAACCCCGTCTCTACTGAAAATACAAAAAATTAGCCAGGTGTGGTGGCGGGCGCCCATAGTCCCAGCTACTCGGGAGGCTGAGGCAGGAGAATCACTTGAACCCGGGAGGCAGAGGATTACAGTGAGCCAAGATCACATCACTGCACTCCAGCCTGGGCGACAGAGCAAGAGTCCGTCTCAAAAAAAAAAAAAAAAAAGGAAAAAAAAAAAAAAGTTTATGCACATTAAAAAGTATTATAATAGTTGTGATTGTCTGCTCCTACTTAAAAAAATATGTAAGCTTAATGTTTAATTATTCCCTTTCAGCAAATTTGGATCAGAAAATTAAAGTATGTGACAAGATCAGGTCACCTTGAATTTCCACACAATCTCAAGACACTGAATAGCAAAAAAGTAACATGACTCAGTAATGAGTAGCATATTGCCTTAGACTTTGCTGGATCTTTGGTCTTAAGGTAACATGTAAAAGTAGTGGAGCCTTTCCTTTCATGGCCTTGTGCAGCGTAACGGTTTTCTGCCTCCTCTTCAGCTGGGAGCGTTAGTGGTAGTATGGACACAGAATGTATGTGCACTGGCGATGCTGCCCATGCCTCCCAGGTACCCTGGCTCTGGGTTCCTTGACCTAGGGAACAAGAGTGGATGAGGCAGGTCTTTGAGCCCATGTGACTATAGAATTTGCTGATGACATAATTTTACAATTACAATGGATAGGAATTTTACCTCTCTTTTTATTAGTTTAATATTATTCAATATTATGTACATAAGTGTTCACTCGCCTAATTAAAAACATTGAGTAAACCAAGTTTTTATATAGACTACCCTTGCCATAGAATGCTCTTTTTCTCTAATAATATGCAGTTTAAATCCTGAGGAATCCATGCGCAGCATTTCACCACATCTGGACTCTGTGGGCATTCTTCACTCGCCTACGAGGGGTAGACAAGGCTACCAGAACTTGAATTTGACTTATCGTAGGGAGCTACCCAGGAAGGGGAAAGCCCTTGGGACTTTTTCCAAAACAGTGTTCTCTTTGAACTATTCATCAGACAAAGTAGTCCACTGAGGTGAGAAAGCTTTCGGAAATACAAAGGTGGGAAGATAAAGGGAACCCTGGCCCACTTGGGGCTTTGAAATTGGATTGGGTGGACTGAATAAACACAGCCTAGATGACCTGGGCTTGTGCCTCGCTTACTTCTCCCTGATACATAGTTCCTGGTCCACCTTCTGACCCTTTTTCTAAAATAGCCAGTGTCTATTTCACTAGGCCATTTACTTACAAGTTCCCAGCTTTTAGGAAAAAAAGAGGGAGGGGGGAGCATCTAGTTTTGAATTAGATATACATCTTAGAAGTAATGAGCTATTGGCAGCTGTTAAATCAGATTCAGCCACAAACCAGAATTCTTTCTTGTTGAACAAGACCAATGAGTTAGATGACTTTAATAATTCCACTTTTCTCTCCCTCTCTTCTCCTCTTCCTGAAATCAGAGAGATGAGAAACTACTCTTTGAAATACCTCCAGAGGTGTTTCATTGTGTTCCTTTCCTTCCAAGCAGCTCCCTTTATACGATTTTGCTCAGGCAACCAAGGACAGAGTATTGGCAGAAACCTGGAGTGCTTTTGTATAGGCCACCTGTACAGAAAAGTGTAATTATTTATTTAATTTTCCCATTTGTATCATATTAAAGCTTTGTACAGTGTTTTAAGTTCTGTTTTAAAATTATTTTGTATTTTATTTTTATACCCTAGTAATAAAATATTCATTCCGCATGCAAAATCTAGTTCTATTTGTGTGGTGGTCTGGATTTCAAAAGTGGAAAATATTATTTTTCTAATTTAATAAAGTTATTGAATACACCAGATGTTACAAGATCAACTGGGAGCAGACAGTGTTACTGTAAATGCAGTACCACGTCTAGAAGTTCCCTGGAAAAAGCAGCCCAGGACTGAATAGAAACTAGGCGTTCAGTGTCCCTGCAGGTGAAAACCAGGGTGCAGGGATGTTAGGAGATGTTTTCCTCCAATAACATTAAAATATTAAAAACTCCTGTTTAGTCCATTATTCTGTCTGGCTGGAGGTACTTTCTACTTCTCCGTAGGAAATATCCCTTCTACCACTAGAGAGATTCCTGCACCCCCACCCTCATCTTTCCACCTTTAACCTTCCTTTGAACCAGAGGAACTCTCAGGAGGCATTCACAAGGGCACTGCCTCACCCCTCCTGGTTTGGTTTGACCTGGAATGTTAGTGCCATCTGGTTTTCTCCGCCTGGATTCCCTTGCTTGATTTCTCACTAAACAGCAACCTCCAAAATGCTCTCTCGGGTTTTTTTGTTTTGTTTTTGAGATGGAGTCTCGCTCTGTCACCCAGGCTGGAGTGCAGTGGCATGATCTTGGCTCACTGCAACCTCCGCCTCCCAGGTTCAAGCAATTCTCCTGCCTCAGCCTCCTGTAGCTGGGACTACAGGCACGAGCTACCACGCCCAGTTAAATTTTGTATTTTTAGTACAGACATGGTTTCACCATGTTGGCCAGGATGGTCTCTATCTCTTGACCTCGTGATCCGCCCACCTTGGCCTCCCATTGCACTCCAGCCTGGGGGCGACAGAGCGAGACTCCATCTCAAAATAAAATTAAAGTAAAGGAGATCAAAACAAATTACTCAGGCTGGGCGTGGTGGCCCACGCCTGTAATCCCAGCACTTTGGATCTGCTGCCCCCTCCGCGCCAAAACATTAGCTGGGCTGTAGCCCTAGGGAGGCTGAGTTGGGAGGATTGCTTGAGCCCAGGAGGCCAAGGCTATGGTAAGCCCTGCTCACGCCACTGCACTCCAGCCTGGGCAACAGAGCAAGACCCTGTCTCAAAAACAAAACAAAACAAAACAAAAAACAAAAAAGGAAAAAAACCCCTCAAGCTCCCAGAAGCTAACCATGATATACTTACTGACATCTAAACTGCAAAATAGTTGAAGTATTAACCTCATGTAAACCCATTTAAGTAAATAAAGCTACATACAAGAGATTCTGTGTGCACGGTGGCCCGAGGCACTTTAAGGGTTGTGGCTTGGAGATTATTAAGAACCTCCTAGAAATAATTCTGTCCTAAATGGTCAATCAGTTGACGGTGAGCGCTGAAAAGCCGATAGGTACTGCTCGGCCAAGGGATTGAAAAATCGGCCTTTGAGAAAAAGTCAAAATGAAAGATTGGATTAACTTTATAATTTCTCTGGGGTGGTGCCAGTTGGATCTAGGAAACTTAAACTCTTGAAGGAATGTGCTTAGAGCAGAAGATAGAAGCTGGTGGCTGTCTCTGTTCCCCTCTACCTCTCTCCCGGCTCCTCGGTCTCCCCAGAGGGGCGTCCGACCCGCGGCAGCCCCACTCCCAGCTCGAATCCTTCCCTTCAGGTCGCTCCAGGGCGGGCAGCCAAGGTGGGCCTCCCCAGGCGCTGTGATCCGCACTTCGCCTCCCAGCAACCGGCCTGTCGGCCGGGGCTGAGGACGCAGCGAGGCCTTGACCGTGGGTCTGGGCAACAGCCAGCTCCGCCCCGCCCCGCGGCCCCGCCCCGCCCCGCCAGGCCGGTCCCTCCCCGCCCCGCGACCCAACGGTCGCTCCCCGCCGCCGGCCCCGCCCCTCCCTGGCCGCCCGTGGCGCGCCGGCGCCTGCGCAGTCGCCCCAGAGAGCCCGGACCGGGATGGCGGCCGTTTTGGAGTCGCTGCTGCGAGAAGAGGTGTCGGTCGCAGCCGTCGTGCGGTGGATCGCGCGCAGCACCCGGGGGTCGGAGGTAACAGCGCTGACACGCCCCCAGGTCTGACCCGAAGCCGGTTCCCGCAGTGGAGCCCAGCCCTCAATCCCCTTCCCCGAGGGCGCCGGGTTGCCAAGCCGGGCCGAGTGCGCTCCAACTGGGCGCCGCTGCCCGGGCCGCCCACCCGAGGCTCGCCCCGCGGCCCCCGCTGCTCACAGCCCCCGGGCCGGCGGCTGACCCTCTCGCCCCTCGGCCTGTGCTTCTGCCCTAGGATAACCCCGGGGAGGCGGCCGCGCTGAGCTCACTCCGGCCCCTGCGGAAAGAATTCGTACCGTTCCTGTTGAACTTCCTGAGGGAGCAGAGCAGCCGCGTCCTCCCGCAGGGGCCCCCGACCCCCGCCAAGGCCCCGGGCGCCTCGGCAGCCTTGCCAGGGAGGCCGGGAGGCCCGTCGCGGGGCAGTCGCGGGGCGCGCAGCCAGCTCTTCCCTCCGACCGAGGCCGCGAGCACCGCCGCCGAGGCCCCTCTGGCCCGCCGCGGGGGCAGGAGGCGGGGCCCGGGGCCGGCCCGCGAGCGTGGAGGCCGCGGCCTGGAGGAGGGGGTCAGCGGGGAGAACCTGCCCGGAGCCGGGGGCCGGAGGCTCAGGGGCTCTGGCAGCCCCAGCCGCCCCAGCCTCACGCTCTCTGATCCACCAAACCTCAGCAACCTGGAGGAGTTCCCTCCCGTAGGCTCGGTTCCCCCCGGCCCTGCAGGGTGAGACTCGGCTCTCATGCGGGAGATGGGTACCACGAAGGCTCTGGGGGAGTCAGTCATTCGGGCTCGGCGCTCCGCAGTGGAGCGCGAGGATGAGTAGAGGCTGGGGGTGATGGCGAGGGTTTTTGTGGGGTTTTTTTTGCAAGAGGTCTAGCTGTTGCGGTTGTGGAGGGGGGATGTTTGAAGATAGGAATTTGAGAAAAACCTGTGGCTACTCTCAGCAGGACGAAGCCTTCTCGCAGGATCAACCCAACTCCGGTGAGCGAAGAGCGGTCACTCTCCAAGCCCAAGACCTGCTTCACCTCACCCCCAATCAGCTGTGTCCCCAGTTCCCAACCCTCAGCCCTGGACACTAGCCCTTGGGGCCTTGGCCTTCCCCCAGGGTGCAGAAGTCTGCAAGAGGAGCGGGAGATGCTCAGGAAGGAGCGGTATGGCCTGGCCGCTCCTGGGGATGTCGGCTTCCTCGCTATGGGGGATCTTCAGGGGTTTTCCCTGAAATTGATTTCCCTCTTGGGGACTCTGGGTTTGTCTTCTGGGCTATCGGTATCTTCTCTGGAGGGACCTGAGTGTCGCCGTGGAAGGGGAGCCAAGCTGACTGCTCATGAAATTTCTTTATTCCCATAGCTCTAAGCAGCTGCAGCAGTCACCTACCCCTACCTGTCCCACCCCAGAACTGGGGTCGCCCCTCCCCAGCCGGGCAGGAAGCCTCACAGATGAACCTGCAGACCCTGCCAGAGTTTCTTCCCGCCAGCGCCTGGAGCTGGTAGCCCTTGTTTACTCCTCGTGCATTGCTGGTGAGTGAGAGCAGAGGGAGCTGGAGTGGAGATACTTGTAGAACTGCTGGGTAAGAGAATTGATAAGGCACCTGGAACTGAACCTTGGCTCCAAATGGTGCCCCATAGCATGGGATTTCTTTTTGTATCTATCTAGAGAACCTCGTACCAAACCTCTTCTTGGAGCTTTTCTTCGTCTTTCAGCTGCTCACTGCCCGGAGGATGGTGACTGCCAAGGACAGTGACCCTGAACTAAGTCCAGGTGTCCTAGGTCAGTGAGCAAGCCTCCTTTTGAGACGTGGGGTCTAGAAACAGGACCGTTCTTAACTGACAGTTTGGTACTGTCCTTCTAGATTCCCTGGAAAGTCCACTGTTCCAAAGCATCCACGATTGTGTCTTCTTTGCAGTGCAGGTTTTGGAGTGTCACTTTCAGTGAGTTTCCCTGGCTGAGGCATTTGGGCCTCATTCTTATCATCTGCTTAGCTCTCTGGCTGCTTGGGACCTATGCTGGTGCTAACACGGGGGCAGTGGCCCTGGACCTTCTCCTACCTGTAATCTTTCATTTTGTGTTAAGGCTATGAATGTAGTACCTAAAAGAATGAGATGGAGCCAGGTGCGGTGGCTCATGCCTGCATTCTCACCACTTTGAGAGGCTGAGGCAGGACAGTCACTTAAGCCCAGGAGTTTGAGACCAGCCTGGGCAACATTACAAAAATCCCATCTCTACCAAAAAAAAAAAAAAAAAAAAAAAGGCTGGATGTGGTGGAGTGCACCTGTAATCCCAGCTACTTAGGAGGCTGTGGTGGGAGGATCACCTGAGCCTGGAAGGTCCAGGCTGTAGTGAGATCACGCCACTGCAGCCCAGCCTGGGTGACAGAGACCCCCATCTCAAAAAAAAAAGAAAAAAAAAAGGACCCCTGTGGCCTTGGCAGCTGAGCTTTGGGTTTCTGGGTAATGTACCTGTCCTGCTGTCTTGATCCCTGCTCTGTAAAGTCTCATATCCTCCCCTTTACTTTCATTGTCTTTGATCCTTGGCCCACGACCTTGCAGGACGTATCTGGGCTCGCACACCTGCACCGTGCCTTAGAGATCCTCTGTGTGGTGTGCAGGTGCTTGCTTCCTACTTGCAGTCTGTGTTCCGGTCTCAGTCATAGGTGTTCTCATCCCTGCAGGGTTCTTTCCAACCTGGACAAAGGGACCTTGAAGCTGCTGGCTGAGAATGAGCGGCTGCTGTGCTTCTCACCAGCTCTGCAAGGCCGCCTTCGAGCTGCCTATGAGGGCAGTGTTGCCAAGGTAGTGACCTCAACTTAGATGCCCACTAGCCTGGACCTAACCCTTCCTAGCTTTCATAAATTCAGGCAACCCTGCTGACGACACTTAAGTGTAATGTGAGCTTACTCTGGGCAAGAATAAGAGGGAGAAGTTGTCTCAGCATGACCCTGTGGTTCCTAATGTTCCTGCTGTATTTTAGGTCTCTCTGGCAATGCCTCCCTCTGCTCAAGCTGTCTCCTTTCAGCCAGAGACTGACAATCGTGCCAACTTCTCCAGTGACCGAGCCTTTCATACTTTTAAAAAACAGAGGTGATAAGAAAAGGGACTTTTGGGGGAGGGAATGAGATGACATTTTTCTGGAAGAGGCAGCTGTTTCGGTTTCATAGAAATTAGGAGTTTGGCACTAACAGGTGGTGGGTTAGTTCTCCCAGCTCCTTCCTGCTGGCCATCATAGGGACCACCTGGCTTCACTCTCTTGTGTGCCTGTGAACCCCGGAGCTTAGCCAGCCGTCTTACAGGTGTGTGGCTTTAGTCTCGGGGTTCTCAGGCAAGAATGTGCCAGGATGAACTGTCACTGCCCACAGAAGTACATGAAGCCTGTAGTGTGCTGTTGGTCTGTAGCACTACTGTCATCATGTAGAGAACTCTGGAGAAATTAAAAAAGGGCTGCTGGCCGAGCCGAGAAGGTCCAGGCTGTAGTGAGATCACGCCACTGCAGCCCAGCCTGGGTGACAGAGACCCTGCTGGTGAGTGAGAGCAGAGGGAGCTGGAGTGGAGATACTTGTAGAACTGCTGGGTAAGAGAATTGATAAGGCACCTGGAACTGAACCTTGGCT